TAAGTAAAGATATGCTACACTGAATAATATAGGAAAATTAATTAAGAAATTTTAGAGACATTATATTAAATCATACTTTATCATGTGCAACATTCACATCTTTTTGTATTATTTAATTAAAGTGCCATATTTAAAAGCAAATATTTTAATTTCTATTATATGTTTGTTTGTTAAGTTATGGCAATGCAGCACTTGGGCAATCTGCCAACGAGGTGCCTCCAGGAGGACTTTCTACGGTAAACCGGCCCCCAGTTACGTGCTACACAAATGAATAAAATCCAAAAAACATAGCGTGGCTAAACTCGGCGAACCGCGATTAGTGTTTAGTGATAGGCTAGTATTCACTCAGCCAAATAGCCATACTGATCCTCCCTGCGAAAGGCTTATGTACGGTATATAATACATATATACTCTAATTTAGCGTATATTATTCGAATTTTAATTTTATAGAATAGTTCTTAACGTTATTATAACATGTTTAAATGTTAAATGAATTTGCTATATACAGTATATACTTTTATAACTTTATTGATTCTATGCAATTATAATGTCTCTATGTAACTATAATTTTAAATTTTTATTGTAAGAAATGCATATATAGTAACATAAATTACCACACATAATTTTATAATTAACTAATTACAGTTTACTCAATCTTTTAAAAAATATGCTAAAAATGAATTTATGAGTCATAGCAACAATTAATTATGATGAATATTTATCATGTAATTTTAATTACAGAATTAATCCATTATTCACATAAAAAGCTGCAGCTGCTTATCTTAATTGGCCTATTTAAGGTCAAAATAGATTGATAATATATAGTTATGAAAGATATCAGTTAGAACTTCATTCAACTTTAAAAGTTTCAAATTTTTTATAGAAAAATAATCAATATTTAAACGAACGATCTGTAAATTTACGTTTAAAACAGAGTAATTCAAATTATTCATTGACAAACAAATTTTTGATGAGTTGAATACTTTTTCAAAGATTTTAGATTTTTTTAGAGGATAAAAAAAAATTAAAATCATTTTTTAAAAATTTTAACAGAATATATTTTGAAAGGAGAAAATGTATTTATATTGGGAAATTTTCAAATTGTAGGTCTATAAATTCCCACTATATACAGTACTGTCCGTTTCTCTGTCCGTCCGTACTTCGTTAATCTCGAGAACGGAGTTAGATGTAAATCGAGAATAGATATGGAAAATTAAAGGCTGAAGACCCCGATTAACAATATATGCATGAACTAGTATTTTAAATTAAAATATGATACAGAAATTGTGGGCCAGCGTTGCGACGATGTTACAATAAATAATTTCTTATTATTGTTTAAATATATTTATAAATTAAATTAACTTATGTAAGTGAAATTTTGCTTATTTGTGAATGATATCCGCTTGAAAAAAATTACGTAAGGTAGAATACTTAAAAAGTAGACTGCATAATAATAATAATAATAAATCTAATTAAAATAAATTTATAATTTACACGTCAATTAAATTTATTCATTTCATTCATTTACAATGTTGACTCATTGCCAAGATAATCNGAACAACGGTCTTAGAATGGCATCCAAACCAGGTTGAGGCTTGGGGATTTCTACAATTGCAATGCTATTAATTACTTACGAAAAATCCTAAAGAAGGGAGAAAATCAATCAACATTAGACAGATTCTTTAACCCCACAAACAGAAAAAACATGACTAATAAAAATGCAAGACTGTGTATACATGTATTTTTATTATTACATATAAATAAATGTAGTAAGAAAGTGTATATTTTTTATTTTTGGGGGTCTCTTTGGAGTTTCCAGAATGAATTAATCAAATTTCCATATAAATCTATGGTAAATTGATAATCGGTTAATGAACAATTCAGATAGTGAACAAAGTCTTGGAACAGATTATGTTCGTTAACCGATCACCCACTGTTTTCCAAAAAATAAACCATAATGAAATATTCTTCATACATTAAATGCACAATCTACAGTCAAGAGACATGGATTAATACCATCAAAGAAAATCAATTGATTTCTGGGTGTTCCTCTTACAAGAGGAGGAACAGGAACTCCTGTTGATCTCCAATTGTAAAATCTGTTTCAGCAGTCTATTTTTGTGTTATGTATTCTTCCCATTGTAATCTTCTGTTAGCTGTCCATTTCTCTATTTGTATATTGCAATCTAATTTTATCTAAATGTGTCTTCCCTGTACTTTCCTCTACCGTAATTTTCTATATATTTAACAATTGTCATTTCTATCCCATGTGTACATGTATACATGTACTATTATTTTATATATTTAATTTGTTTCTTTTTTATATTCTCATTATTCTATATTATGTTATTTTAAAATATTTTCCTATCTTTTAATACTTACAATGTATTATCTTATTCCATTTAATTGTAGAACCAAACAGTTCATATAAATTATACCTATCCTATTATTTTAAAGCCCAGTTTCAATTTGGATCTAATTTGTAAACTCATACATTTTGTTTTCTCAGATGATATTTTTATCTTTTTCTGCATCTATCTTAAATTTATAAAGCAATCTCTAACTCACTTCATGCTGACCCATTGATACCACATCAGCATACTAGATTAATGGTAAAATAATACAATTTCTATACCAGAATTTTTTATTTTTATTTATTTAATAAAGTTTTGAATGAAACTGTAAGACTAAAAACATCACTTGTCTAATTCCAGTAATTATTTCAAATGTCATGTCATTTCCAAGCATTTTTCCGTTTATATTCTCAAAATAAAGGAGTATTACATTTCATTAATTAGGTTCATTATTTTTCTATTGATATTTTGTTTTGTCATAATATCTGTTAAGTCATGCAGCAATATTCTGTCTAATGCTTTTTCCAAATCAAATCAATGAAGTATAATAGTGGCATTTTAAATTCTGGAGAATTTTCCATAATTTGTCCAAGTATGAAAAGAGCATCTACATATGATCTCTCTGAAATTATTGCTGTTTATCATCTAAATATGAAGGTCACTAGCTTGTTTTCCTTCCTCTGATACATTTATCGACAACAAAATTAGGTCTCTTCTGTCAAGTTTTAATGTTAACTAATATTTTATCACTAGTACACATATATTCTGTTATTTTTGTTTCTAAGTTTGTTATGTATTAATATTCAAATGTTTTTGATCTTAGTAATAGATCAAAACATTTGTCTGTTAAAGTTATTTTCTGGAATTTTAAAGTTTTTAAAGTATGTAAAAATTAACTCTCTTTTCTTTTTGGTTTTACTAACAGAGCAAATTTGAATATTTCATGATTATAGTTCTGCTTTTAACTCCTGTTCTTTGCCATTTGCTCTTACATTCAAAATATTCTGCTTCCTTTTCCATGCTTTTGTTATTTCAAATCACCAATCTGAGATCCATATCTCTTGACTCTCTGAACAATCTAATTTAACATGTCTGGGTGGGTTGTTGACCTGGTCATTGATGCTCCCCGTGCTATCTGGATATTGTATCACATGCTAATCATTTTAGAAATTTTTCATTTATGCTTTTGTTAAAAACATTTTTGCATTCAAAATCATAAAATGTTATAAACTAAAATTATTATATATAGTATTTTTTTTTATATTTTCAGAATTTTTCAATCAGGAATAATCTATAGCTGTTAATAAAAAAATAATTACAACTTAAATTTGAATTATTATATTAAAAACATAAGCAAATGACAACACAATAATCCTAATTAAAGGGCTAAATAATTGTATACTTGCTTACTGGAGAATTCAAAAAATAAATCCTAATTAAAACCTAAAATTTTTTACTATTAATCTATTTTTATATANAATTATGAAAATGGCCTTGGTCTAAATCATACTGATAAATCTCGAATGATAAAAAATTCCAAATACTGTACTAAGTGGCAAAAAAGTTTTTTATCCATGAAAATATTGATAAAATAACGTTTTAATCTATTGATAAAACTGAAAATTTTACTGATTACATTATAAATTTTGTACTATATTAACCTTTATTTAAAAATATGAATTTAAGCTGATAATATAAAATCAGATTTAAAAAATTTTTGCAACAGACCTGTAGTATAGATGATAAATTATTTTAATTATGTTAAATATATATATATTAAATAGCTTTTTAATATAAAATAAAATTACAATCTAAAATCATATCAAAATAATAAAATTATCATATACAGTATTAATATTTTTGCACTCTTATTTTTTGTAACTTCAAAAACAACTGTCAACACTTTAAAAATTTTTTTAGGAGAAAACAGAACATGTAAATAGTTTCTCTAATAAATCTAATTTTTAATTTTATTTTTTCTACTTATATTAGTAGTGGTATTAGTGCAATTAAAAATGATGATAACATCTAAAATTTAGATATCACAAATTTTCAGTACTAAAATCTTCTGTACTTTTAGAGAGAGCCAGTCTTAAATATCTATTACTCAAGCTACTCAAGTCGGTTCAAGAAAAATTATTAGATATTTAAGATCAGTGGCATACTTGGGATTTAATCTTGAGGAGCAGAGTTAAACAGATTTTAAAAATTTTTAATGCAAATTCAATAAAATTCCCACTTTACCACTAATTCATTAGTATAGAAATAGAAGACACATTACAAAGAAAAAATGAATTTTAATTAGAAAAAGATTTAGTGTTTGCTTTCCTTTCTGTTCAGACGGTGCCAAGGCTCTTCAGTACCCCTCCGAGTGCAGGTTAAGAACGTATTATACATATAACATATATCATTTTATCAGATAAACTAAAATACCAATGACATCTTTCTACATATACACACATACAAATTTATACACCCAAATGAAATTATTACCGCCACTTTAATAAGTCCTTCAAATATGAATCGTAGCAAGGCCATATCATTCATTTAATAATTACACTCGCAGAAATGCTCTCCTTACATTACTCATAATGAAATATTCTCTAGACTTAAAGAATTATTTAAAAATTAGCAAAGAATTATTACCTTTCCAATCTTTTAATATCTCCAGGGATTTGTTCTATCTGATTTCCACCAACGTAGAGCGATCTCAATTCTCTCAAATCAAATATCTGCGGAGGGAGGACCTTAAAGTTATTACCACTTAAATTTAATACTTCTAATGTTGTTAAATCACCGAAATTCTTCGGTAATGACATCTCGTCTAACATATTACTGCGAAGGAGAAGTGTGTTGAGACTGGCAAGTTCGAGTATTCCATCAGGAATAACGTTCAGGTTATTATAACTCAAATCTAATAGTCGAAGATTCTTAAACATTGTTATATACGAAGGGAGGTATCTTAGACGATTGTGATGCAAATAAATGTATGACTTGTTCCTACATTCGTTCTGCTCGCACGTGGAAAGGATGTCTTCTAGACTCGATCCGTCTAAATCGTTGTGAGACAGATCCAGTATCTTATTGTGAAAATCATCCCTGTCGTTGGATGCGAATCCTTTCTGCTGGATGCAGTCTTCCGCCATATCCTACGGTCGAACAAAAAAAGAGAACTTAAGCAGATTTGTATCGGTCTATAACATCTAAATTATCTAACATGTGTTATAAATAATTTCCCGATAAAAGATCCAACGTAGATATTAATCAAACGCATAATTGTTCTAAATAATTGGATGAGACACCACACCACGCACCGACTTACCTCCCAATGACGGAACGACCGCAGCGCCAATCACGTGCTAACAAGTGATAACGTCACAGAGGTCATTAATTGATCCCGTATAAATTGATTAACAATTTACGTTTCCTTAACACTAGAATAATGAGATGGATTGAAGTCGATACAATACAGTAGATAGCCTAAATAGTTAAATTAACATTTTAGTTGTCCTATTAACTTCTAAGATTAACTTACTATCAGTAATTTATGTCCTAGTCTAAACTAAGAATCATTGCATTAGCCAGTAAATGGTGTAACTAGGCCTGTGTTTGCCCTATTATTGCTAGACTAGACAACTGAAAAAAATAAATGTTTATTTCAAATTGATTGCTATAACTGATTAGACAGTCTGCAACTCTGCAAAAACTACTAAAAATGTATATTTTTAACTCATTGTCAATTATATGTAAGTTAGATGTTATCACATATTATAAATATAAATTTTTAAAATATTTTCTTATCAATAGATCAAAAAATAATGCTGATAATTTTTGTCAAAATTACAAGAAAAAAACTTATAAAAAATTTTATAATAATATTAAAATGACGATTTTTATTTATTAATTTTTCAAGTTTGTATCAGATACTTTTTCAAAAGAAAATCTTGTTTGTAATTTTATTTATTCTTTCAATTAGAAATAAATTTTCTCATTTTAAATGGTGTGATGATGATTTTAGATTGTGAGAGATCCATAGTATGGATTCGCGAAACCTTTCTTTATATAAGTCTATATAACATAAAGCTCACTTGTCAGTATAAAAAGTTTTCTCGTAAATTTGCTATTTTACAATATCTAAGACTCTGGTTAGTGCTGAATTATAAGAACTGAACTAAAATCGAATAGCCGCAAACACTAAATTTGTGTGTCTGAATCCCTAAAAGCGTGAGATCCTAGCAAAATTTTAGATTTTCTACGTCAATGGATGGAATAGTTATAGAATTCTTTAACTAATTTTGGATCTATTGAATATTATTTCTTGGTAAAAAAATTCTTGAAAGCGCAATTTCTAAATATCACATGATATTTAGAATACATTTACAGTAATGTTTAAATTTAAAAAAGAAAAATGTATTTTAATATAATATTTCCTTTCTAGAAAACAGAATTTTGAAAGAGAATTAATAATGTTTAAATATAATTATTTTAATTTCATTTCGATTAATTTATAAACAACATGTCATAATATTATTAATTAATTATATTATCCTTCTTATAATTTAATATCTGTTCTCACACTCATCATTTTTTAAAGTTTGACGTAAATTTATCAACGATGCCATCGAGCGATATTTTATTACAGCAACTTGGCCAATCTATGACGTTTATTTATTGTAATTCATTTGATATTCAATATAAATGCCCTAACAACATCTAATCAAGCTCACTAACGTTTAATCGATGACGTTTTTGATCAAAATTTCATAACATTTTTTGGAAAAAATAATATGCAAAATCAGTAAATATTTTTTAATCGTTATGTAAATTTTACTGGAAGTCCTCATAAGTTAAGACTGGAGATGATGCAATATTATACAGTACGTGATTTGATTTATTTGTTTACGACAACTCGAGGGCGATCTGCCGAGGGAGGATGCCTCCCGGGAGGGCTTTCTAAGTGAAACTGGCCCCTATTTGGGTGTTGCAAATGCGAAGAAAACCCGGAAAACTCCATGCGAAGTCCGTTGGCAAGGCGTGAACCCATGGCCAACTACAGTACCAGTCTTATCCACTTTGCCACTGATGAGCAATATTAGACGTCATTTCTACAATCATGAAAATATGGCTTTCATTCGTGTTTTCAAATGAGTAAAATCCAATTTTCTTGTTTTTAAAAGAAAGAAAATTAGTTTAATGGAATTGAAGTTCATTATTAAAAAGTAAAGTAACAATATATAGAAGGCTAAGTCTTTTAAGGCATTTGTATGTATGTGGCTGAGGAGACCCCAGCCACATACATTTTTGATCTATCAGCCATATTTCAAAAATAGCCATAAAAAGTGTATTATATTTCTTAAATATAGGTGAAATAGAATATATTATTTATAATGCAAGCTGCCTTCATTTTACTCTGATTCATAACAACGATAGTTTCAAATTTTTCCAAAAAGCTCAAAAATATCTTTTTCCACAATATATAAAATAATTTTTCAAACGCTAAATGCAAATATTTATATAGGAGAACTAGCAAATTTGGCAAGGTTCATCCGAAGGAGTGCTTATGGTGTTACAGTGTAAAGCAACAAAACTGATTCATTTGATATCAAAGGGATATCGCCAAACTGACGTCCTTAGACGACTTCTGTTAATGCCAACTCATTGACTAAAGCATGTTGCGAAATGAACCTTGATTGGGAGCGAAGTGACTGTAAGGAGCTTAAACGAAATCTTACCACCTTACAGAAAAGGATTTAAGCATTTCAAGGCCTTAAGTCGAACTTTGTATGAGGTCCCCTACCAATCTTTTACAATTTTCGAAATCAGTCATAAATAGAAGAGAATTAACATAAATACATTAATTTTAATAATAAATGTTTTATTGTAGAAAAGTATTTGCAACATATTATAAAATAAGGTACAATTTAGAAAGGACCACTACATATCAAATTTCGTCTTCGTGATTTTTTTGTTGCAAAATGCGCGTAGTTTTTATTTTTGAGGCACCTTGGAACTCGAGGCCCTAAGCTACAGCTTATATAACTTACTTGTGCGTTATTATGAAATTCTCAATTAGAGGAAAGGAAAAGCACGACAAACAACTTTTAACAAATATTTTAAGAAAATGGATGATTCTCAGCCCAGCCTATCATCGATAGATCATCCTCAAATGGGGACATTATCGAAGAACTTAAGTTGCATCCAGTGGCACTATCAACACAGTAGCGGTATAAAAATTGTATCGTCGATTTTGACTGTAAATGAATAAGATGATTTCTCTATTATTATTATTTTGCATTAGTAAAGATTTCGGTATTAAACATGTTTCTATTAAATTTTATACGAATATATTCATTCATAGATGCCTTGAACATATCCCTATTTATCTCATAATAAAATGAGTTTATTTTACTCCGATTTTGTTTACATCTCCTCCTCTGAGAACGTATTACCACGTAAAATGAGGACAGCCTGTAAATGGTTTCGAAGCCCAGAATAAATGATTGGTTGATAGAATAAGCAATACATTACTTGGGCAATCTGCCAACGAGGTGCCTCCAGGAGGACTTTCTACGGTAAACTGGCCCCAGTTACGTGTTACGTGTTACACAAATGAATAAAATCCAAAAAACATAGCGTGGCTAAACTCGGCGAACCGCGATTAGTGTTTAGTGATAGGCTAGTATTCACTCAGCCAAATAGCCATACTGATCCTCCCTGCGAAAGGCTTATGTACGGTATATAATACATATATACTCTAATTTAGCGTATATTATTCGAATTTTAATTTTATAGAATAGTTCTTAACGTTATTATAACATGTTTAAATGTTAAATGAATTTGCTATATACAGTATATACTTTTATAACTTTATTGATTCTATGCAATTATAATGTCTCTATGTAACTATAATTTTAAATTTTTATTGTAAGAAATGCATATATAGTAACATAAATTACCACACATAATTTTATAATTAACTAATTACAGTTTACTCAATCTTTTAAAAAATATGCTAAAAATGAATTTATGAGTCATAGCAACAATTCATTATGATGAATATTTATCGTGTAATTTTAATTACAGAATTAATCCATTATTCACATAAAAAGCTGCAGCTGCTTATCTTAATTGGCCTATTTAAGGTCAAAATAGATTGATAATATATAGTTATGAAAGATATCAGTTAGAACTTCATTCAACTTTAAAAGTTTCAAATTTTTTATAGAAAAATAATCAATATTTAAACGAACGATCTGTAAATTTACGTTTAAAACAGAGTAATTCAAATTATTCATTGACAAACAAATTTTTGATGAGTTGAATACTTTTTCAAAGATTTTAGATTTTTTTAGAGGATAAAAAAAAATTAAAATCATTTTTTAAAAATTTTAACAGAATATATTTTGAAAGGAGAAAATGTATTTATATTGGGAAATTTTCAAATTGTAGGTCTATAAATTCCCACTATATACAGTACTGTCCGTTTCTCTGTCCGTCCGTACTTCGTTAATCTCGAGAACGGAGTTAGATGTAAATCGAGAATAGATATGGAAAATTAAAGGCTGAAGACCCCGATTAACAATATATGCATGAACTAGTATTTTAAATTAAAATATGATACAGAAATTGTGGGCCAGCGTTGCGACGATGTTACAATAAATAATTTCTTATTATTGTTTAAATATATTTATAAATTAAATTAACTTATGTAAGTGAAATTTTGCTTATTTGTGAATGATATCCGCTTGAAAAAAATTACGTAAGGTAGAATACTTAAAAAGTAGACTGCATAATAATAATAATAATAAATCTAATTAAAATAAATTTATAATTTACACGTCAATTAAATTTATTCATTTCATTCATTTACAATGTTGACTCATTGCCAAGATAATCAACTAGGCTAAAGTCGTTGATTCAGCTTAGTCATAATAACAAGTTTTGAAAGATTAAATCTCACATGCAAAATTTGCTTGAAGCTATATAAATTAGAATTCATAGTATATTATAAATTGTTAATGGTTATTTTGACAAAGCTGAAGCAAGAATAAACATGATAAGACTGATAGGAGGAGATAAAGTAAAGTTTTTCAGTAACCTTAACGAGTAGTGATAGCATTTAATACTTTATATCTAGTACAAATACAAGTATAATAAAACTTTTCAAACTATTATCTCTTAGGAGAAAATTTATTTTTAGTTGTTTTTGGTGCCATTGAATTTGATCTCGTATCGCTTTCATCGATTATCTCTGATATATAATGATATAAAAAATATCTATGGCTAACTGTTGCGTTATTCAAGGATTTAATTTAGAAAAAACTGTAAAAAAAAGTGCTTTCGGTTGACTAAATAGGCTATTTTACATAAATATAATATTAAATTTATTAGTATAAGAGTTTTGTAAAAGCTATCTGGAAGTATTGCTTAACAATATTAAAAGTTTCTGTTGTCAGTAGTTTGCAAAAAAATTCCGCAGGTTTCTCTAAAGTTGTATGTGGCAATTACTATACAATTTTGCATTTTGTAAAACAAAGTACATTTTAGATGAAATGATTGGCATAGATGTAATTTCTATATGTTGACAGTAGAAAAGCTATTTTAAAAAATAAAAGTAAAAACGAATTCATCTTAGAAATCATTAAAATCTTAGAATTCCTCACTAAGAATATGATTCGTGAACCATATGACATTTTCACTAATTATTATATAGCCTAATAATACATTAAAGTTACATTATTACAAAAGATGCATTCGATACGTCCAAATAATGTACATTATTATATCAATTTGTCGTCATCTTTACAGTTTTCTTATGAGGTGAAAATGACGTCAATTTAACGTACAAGTGTATACTATTTAGCAAAATTAGAATGCACCTAATATCAAGGGGACGAAATCTGGAGGTGTAGCCTATATTTTTTGCGAGGGCTTAAAGAGTAACTCTTAAAAATTGAATTTATATCGGTCAAACCGTTTAGAAGCGTGTAGGGAACATACAGATAGATATTCAATTTTATATACAGTATAGACTTTAGATTTAAACAGTAAAGAGTTAAGAAATGAGAACATCAATCAGGCATTTAATTATAACAATTTTTTTTTATTTTATCGTTAATTACCTTGATAATATCACATATTATTTATTTATCTCTGCATGATTATCTCTACTATTTTAAATTCATATCCCTTATCACAAGTCTGTGTAATTTTGAACTTATATTAAATTTAATAAGTCAATATGCATTTTAAACGATCAGATATAAAATTTCAAATAAAAAAATTTAATTTTTGATAAAATAATAGCTGATTCTGTAGAGATAATTAAAATTTATTTATCAATAAATACGAATTACTAACTGCAAATGACGTTGAAAGGCTAACCTTTTCAATGCAACCTTTAAACGTCTCAAACTCCAGACTTCGAGGTATCAATGACCTTTTAACTATATATTAATTTTATTACAATCGATATATGATTACTTTTAATATAAAATAATTGTTATTAAATTTATTCTGTGTAAAATTTAAGCCTTCAAAGTCTATATTTGATATTTCAAAATTATAAATTTTCTGCTCTAAAAATTTAAAAGTGAATTAAATAATTTATTAGAAAATTTTAATTCAATTCATAAATTTAATATTTTAAAAATAAACTATTAAATATTATTATTTTTAATCAAATTTTGTGATTAAAATTAGATTAAGATAAATTTTTAACTCGTGAAATTAAAAATTTAAAGATATTACAAAAAGCATAAAAATAAAACTGATGTGAATAAAGTTACGAGAAATTTTAACAGAATTTATAAATAATTGAAAACAAAGCATCTACAATGAAGAAAGTAGGCCTATATATATATATATATATAAATATTAAAGTAATTATACCAAATGTGTACTCACAACACGCCAACTTCAAAGCTATCGGAGATTTAGATTGAATTTCTAAAAGAAAAATGTCTCGGATATCAATAATGTTTATACAGTGATATCAAAAGAGGGCAAAGTATCGATAAACAAACAGTATTCTCTCAAGTAACAATAGAAAACGAGAAGCAAATAATATCAAACGCTAACCTCTAAGTTTCAAATGTCTTAGGAGTAGCAAATTTTATTTGAAGAAATTTATAAGACGAAGAAAACACAGCGTATTTAATTCTGTCTTAGCATTGCGTAGTCATTGTAAACAATAAATTTTTATATTTTAAAGTTTGCATAATCATTATAAATATCAATCATTAAAATTACATGTAGAGTGTATTACATTTCATCATGCTAGAATATAAAATAAAGGAAATCCAAACCATTTAAAATATTTATTATTTTACTAGCGTTATAATTTATTGCAAGTTTTACTTTTATTATATTATATTTCCGTAGTTTCCATTTATTAAGAATTTCCTACAGCTGTTAGAAAAATGTAAAGTAGATAAAGAAAACTTACTTAAAGTTATAGTAACTTGCAATAATGAACTTTATCAATGAGAAAAAGCCCGTTTAATGAAGAAGTATATAATATATATACTGTATATATATAAATGTATGCAGTAGTACGTGTTATAGATTATAAGTTAAAGGGTGACAAATATTAAACTCATATCAAATATTTGCTGAGTCATTTTTTCAAGGTCTTCGAAACCTTCATTTTTGATATTTGTTATCATAAAATAAATATGATATTACTAAATTAAGTTAGAAAGAGATACTTTTAATTGGTTACATAAATTTTCAAATGATAGCAGTCGGTTTTTGAAAGATCTGGCGAAAAAACAACTCTAACATATACCATATCTATTTTCTCCAGCTTGATAAGAAACATAGGCTTACATTACTGTATTTACATGACATTTATTTTTTTATATTATTTAACATACTTAAAATATATAAAATACATATATTAAAATCTCTTTCTTTTTATTCTATAATAAGTTTTCGTTATAAAAAATTCATGTATCTGAAGTTATAATACTCTTTAAGTACCAATATAATAGCTTATAAATCTCAGTTTTATTTCATCATCAATCATTACTAAACGTAAAATATATTTTATATGAATATTTTACTAGAGGGTTTCGTCCAGTAATTCGAAAATTTCGAGACTATTTGCCTATTTCCATAATTAGGGACATAAATAAAACGCTTCTAAAAGAGCCGAGAGGACTGATTTTTTTTCGTAATATTAGATGTAATAAAGACAGAAATTTTTCCAGTTCAATGACAGTGACCAAAAAGATGTAAATTGACACCTGGTCCTAAAACAAATTAGAAAACAAATGACGGACAATCTATTAAGTTTAACATATAGCTATGGTGAGAAACCTTTAAAATTTACAACAACCCTATCCTTTGAGGTATACTAGTGATGCGACAAAAGAGACATTTGACATTGACCAGTATCTACAACCTCGGGATTTGGTGCGTGCATGCACTCACTGCACACCTACCAGGATCGTCTCTGGTTCCATCCATTAGCCAATCGTAGGGAGCTATTTGACTAAGTGAATTGTTTTAAGATTTAAAAAGTAAAGAATATTTTATGTTATTCATACGTACATTACGTTTCTTTACAAGGCTATATTTTATGTCACGGCACGCCACTGCGTGAGGCCCTAACTTAAGGTCTCATATTTTTATAATTGTCATTATTTAGTGGAGAGGAAGGATCTGTTATATAGTATATTGGTATATATAGTTGTAATGTATATGTTATACATTACAACGACAAACAAGTGTAGTCCTGCTAAATACATGTATAATTATTACTTTTCCGGCTGTTATATATAAGTATAACAGAGGAAAAGTATGGCAATTGGTCAAAAAAATGACTCCAAGGATTTTACATTTTTCGGACTCAGGAGACTTTAAAATGTCGAGAAATGCTAAAGAATTCGGAGATTTTTTTTATATAGTCTATATATATATATATGGATGTTAGTGTGGGGGGCACAATTTTGTTTACCCCTTTTAAAGCTTAATATCTCCTGTGCTTTTTATCGAAAATTTCTGAAATTTTGTATGGAGGTTCGTTTGTTAGGGGGGACTGATGCTGTTAAATTTTGGTGATAGGTCGAGGGAGTGGAGAGATAAAAGAGATCGTGCGTATCTCCAGTAGGACCAGACTTAATGACGATTTTACTTGTTATTAACATTAACAATTTTTTTATAAAACCCATATCTACCTTCAAAATTAAGCTTTTTGCCATTTTATAAGTTAAACATAAAATTTGTTTTAATAAAATATGATAACAGATGGCGTCACCAAATGTTGCCGGGAAAGTTAAGCTACTCATTGCTGAATTTTTCATTAATGCGGTCGATTTATGTTGAAAAATTAACCGAAAATATAAGAAACTGCAATACAGAGATATAGTAATCATATTTATCAAAATAGATTATATAGATTTAATATGACAAATATTATCTAATATAATGAACTTATTTGCTTAAGATTTATTGCATTTGCTCTTGAAAGTGATCGTATATATTTACCTATTATGTGTATATATATAATATTATTTTCATTTTCAATTGTACAGTTATCTTTAAATTAATAACTAAACTCCAAGTTAACAAACATAAGCATTAAGTAAGTAGTAGTAAATAAATTCGTTTGTGTATATTGGTCAACCTGAAATATTGCTTTGTAATCGTTTTCAATTATTATAGTAAATTTCAGTATATTATTATGTAATACTTTTTTAGATCTATATACTCAAGAATTCTGGATGAACTAGAGCAATTTATAACTAAAACATGTACCTAAAATGCATTAAATCCTTTAAGAATAGACTTCTATTCTGTTTAATGCCTTATGCAGTACATTATGCGTGACGTTATGGCATTTTTCTAGATAATATTTAAATTTGAATTCGAAGGATTTATTGAGAAATTCCTAAATAAATCACTCTTAATTATTACAAAGAATATGGTGATTTTTCTAATATGAGAATGAAGTAGCCAATGACTTTAAAAATTTTATATTTTTAAGCATATTTTATATTAAATAATACTTTACGTTAGAAGCAAAACATTTTAAGGAAATTTTTTGCTTATCTAAACATTTTTTTTTCCTCTAAAATATAATAGAATTTGATATTTTGAATACATTTAATTAGTTTCTACTAAATAAAATGGAAAAGTAAATGATGTAAAGCTGTTTCAACGTGTAAGCAACACAATCAAATTTTCGATGACATTGCTACGATTTTATGGAATCAATGCTTGAATAAAGTACTTAATACATGAATAATGTAATAATTTTACTTATTATTTTAATTCTTAATTTTGTTTTTAATAATGTAAACTATTTTACACGCGATTGCATCATTTAAAAAAATGATTTTGCTGAATGTATTATATTAAGTGATGCAATCGAACGTATTTTGAGAAAGTTTGTAATGATTCAATAAAAACCAATTTAATTTTTGTTAAAATATTTCAAAATAAATAAATAAAATAAAGTTATTTATTTAAATACATAGAAAATATAACATAAAAACTTTATTTATCAGATCCCATATAATAAATAATATTTTTAAATGTCAGTAAAAGAATCTATTAATATTATTCCGCATGACAAAGTATACAGTAATATCTCAAATCAATTAAGTGCAATTGAATTCAAACTCGGATATCTCACAGCTGTCGAAAGATATATTATCTAAGGGTTATCCGGCCGATTGTTATGTCATTCGGTTGCTAATTATGAAAATGTAGTAATTAATAATTAACGAAATATATCCTATAGTCAATAATATAACGTTTAATCTTAAACTTAGAAAATATTTTCCTGGAAAATGGAAAATCCTCTGTAAGAAAATAAGTTTAGTAGTTGTATTCCACGTATCTTGGCTAATTTGCCTTTTTGAGAGATTCCACCGTATAGATCGCGATCGTGCATTTACACACATACGATTAAATTCTGCATTTGGTAATGTTTATTGAGTCTCCGAGTGGCAATGATGATGAAGGTAGAGCTACTCTACTAAAACATCATTAAAGTGACTTGCCATCCGACTTAGAAGGCACTTTGAAGACATTTCTATCTTAGAAGTGAAGAGATTTGAGGACAAGATGCAAAAAAGTTAAATAAAAGCTATAGAAATAGCTTCCTGTCCTTAATTTTGTCTTTTAATATTTATTCTTAATTGGACCTTGTATTTAGAGTCAGGATTTATTATTGTATGGAACGATTAAAGATTTATTTGTATAATAAGTCTCCACTCTGATACAAGACCCAAGTAGACATAAATATTAAAAGATTAAATAAAAGTATTTAATAATAATTAAAAACATGATTATTTTAGAAATAAAATACATTTTGTTATAAATTTTTATTGTTTTGGAAATGGAGCGATGATATTTCTACAAATATAACCTGGTTATCATCAGCTAATAAATATATATATTTTTAAATATAATTGAAAAGATGTCATTGAACTTTCTTAATCGTTATCTAAACTAAAATATTTCAGTAAATTTCCAGTTTGACAAATAATTGAAAAAATAGAAATGTTATCTCTCTTTAGATATGTATTGAATATATAGGCTTATAACTTGTAATCATGAATGGAAAACACTTTTGCTCATATTACGAATGTAAAATTACGTCTCACTAATTAAATTTTGCGTCATATTCATTATCAGTTTATTTTAAATGCGTGTATCGTAATTGCTCATACGAAGATGTATGACGCGCAGAGTTATAAAATTTATTCTACTGATTAGTATAAGCAGGAAGCTCATACTTATTTTCATGAATATACTGAAAAATAACTCTATTAAAATTGAGGAAAAAAGATTATTTCCATTTACAATCACAATTTATTTTTTTAATTTCTATTTTGAGTCTCTTAGCTTCCTCTATCCCTATAAATTTTATTTATAGAGCTATAAATCAATATTCAATTTACTTAATTAAGATGTCGTTTAAGTAACAAATTACTAAATTTCAGACGATACAAACAAATAATCGTCATCAAATTTTATATATCTCGGTTATTCTGCAGACAAGATTTTCTTCTAATATGCAAAACAGATCTTTATTATTAAGCATTTCAATTTGATTGAATTAAATACCGTAATAGCAAAAATAAAAAATTTCTCTAATTGACGATGGATTTATTCAGCACAATCTCCTAATGAATAGCCTTCTATTCGAATTAACACAGATGATACTTTGAAAGTATCACTTTCTCTGAAAATCATCAGTATAAGTCTATTAATATCTCTGAAAATTATCATCTCTGTATTGTTCTCGATTAAATGGATGTTCGTTAAGAAATTGTAACAGAGAAATCCATTATCGAATGTAATTCAAACTTGGATTCTTCTGAAAATCAATACTTCGTTCCGTTTTCCTGTGATAAAAAATCGCAAAGGTGTAATTATAATTTAGATTTTACGGTTTGTTTTGGATTTGTTCTCCAAAGCTCATCCTGATGAATTATACGATTTATGATTGCAACTTTGAGATCGGTCGTATAACCATGTACAATTGTACTCCGAGAAAACCAATTCAGTTCATAGTCAGGTTGAAAAGATACTAAGTATTGTTGCTTATGCAAACAATACTTAGTATCTTTTCAACCTGACTATGAACTGTTGTAAGCTATAATCAATTGTAAGCTTACATCAAACACATATGCTTACGCTTAGCATCCATAATTATAAAAAAACAAGTGCTGTACAGTATATCAATATGAAACTACATCATACTTTTTAAACACCCTCTTGTTTCTTTTTTTATTTTATTCTGGAGAAATAAGTGCTTACAACTGTAAGATTTCGTTGTGAAAAATCAAGTGGATATGATAAAAATATTTTAATATTTCAACATTGTGTGGAATTTCTGTACAATATTTTCAAATCACTAAGGAAAGTCACTAATTTTAAATATATCGCATTTACAGCGTAATGCAATATATTTAAAATTAGTGACTTTCCTAGGTGATCATATAGTAAAAATATTCCTGCTGCTTCGAAGAATTCTTGTTCGGATCCTTCCTGACTTTGGATTAAATTATTAATGAATAATATAATAAAAAGTGTCGTCGTCGTTCTTCACTCTCTCACTCATATTAATCATCATTCATTATGCTTCTTTTTTTTATTAGAATTACTTTATTAGAATTACTTATAAATTGTTCTATTATAACAGTTTTCATTTATTTATACACAAAGACGCATATTAATTATATATTTTTTACAATTATCACTATAAGTGCATTTTATATTTTCATATAATAGTTACTTTTTATTATTACTTATAATTTTTCCGATTGTAATTAGTTTCAATTATTTATTTTTATACTCAAGTTCTTATTAATGTTATTTCTAGTTTTTAATATTTCCATACTTTGTTTAAATTTTCTACAATATGCATAGTTCTCATAGTGTAAGGTTTCAACGCCATGTTTTTCAATGTTTACAGTTTAGTAAATCAGGCAGAATTTTGTATTTTAGGTCACAAATGTGTTCTTTTAATCGTGTTTGGAATTTCTTCTTTGCTTCATCGTTATATGTGAATTTGTTATCACACCTACACGAAGTAGAATATATTACATTAGTTCTTAAGCTTCAATTAAAAAAATTGTAGACTTATAAATTCTCACTGTCGTTATCCTCCGTTTGTCCGTCCGTCTGTCTTTTCGTAATCTCGAGAATTGAGTTAGATATATGAAAGACGAGACCAGATTTGAAATCTAAAGGCTCCGATTAATTATATAAGAACTCCTAATGAAACCAGAAGTCATGTTATTTCAATTCAAAAATTCTCTCCTGAAAGGTGTTAGATAAATGACAGGCACGACTCTATTGTTAAAGGACAAGTATGATATTGACTTAAATATTGTATCAACTGTAGTTGTTTCGGCCTCATAACTGATAGAATTCCTATTTTTGATGATAATAAAAATGTTGGCAAAGGAATCATATGCAACTTAGGGTGCGTTCGTAAAGTCGAACGAGTTAAACAAGAATGACGTCATCGTTATTCTTATTTCGTTAGACTTTTCGAACAATTCGTTTCTAACTAAATGGATGTTTCTAAAATCGAAGATATGAATGTTGCTAGTGCAGCCTTATCCGAAATATTTTTAGATTGCTTCCGGTGGACAGTTATTTCAATCATTTCACCTTTTAATTCACAATTTAAACACTCGAGTAGAGTTAGAAACATCGATATCGTCGGGCGCCATTTTCTTAACGAAGTAAACTAACTCCCTTCGTGAACTCGTTAGAGTTTCGTTCGAAACGTCATCACCGCAGAGTATGCACACTGGGCTAGACTACTAATATTCGAACGATTCGTTACTAACGCGTTTAACTCGTTTGACTTTACGAACGTACCCTTAATTGATGCTGAACTAACAAAGATTGTTACTACTGCTAAAGCAATATTTTTTCGCTAAAATTCTTTTGGTGCGAAGCTTCTTGGGGCTGATTTTAACTGATGTTCAACGAAAATGTTAAATGAGCACCTTTCTAAACCTTCTGCATCTAAAAGAACTTGTTGCTCGAAGAACTTCAAAGGACATGTCTACATAAATCACTATCGGTATAACACTTTTGAAAGATGTATGATTGAAAATAAAGCACAAGCTTAATGTTTTTATTTGTTGATGTGGAATAATCAATCAGCTGAAAAATATCGCGAATAATAAGGTTTCTCCGAGAAGAGTTCATCACACTTAAGATGAACGCATTTTGAGAAGAACGTTTACGGTAAATTATCTTATTTTTGCGTTTAACAGTCGACCCCCCATAACACTGTTGATAATTCCGTTTTATATGAATTCCATGTTGTATGAGTCACTTAGATTTTACAAATACGTGAGCCGTTCACAGCCCGGCACATGTACTTGTAAAATCTAAATTACTCATACAACATGGAATTCATATAAAACGGAATTATCAACAGTGCTATGGGGGGTCGATTGTAATTCGAATCTCAATAAAAAAAATACTATGTTCCATTTAAAAAATTCTACTTTCGATCTGGATAGAGCATTTCCGGTCAGTACAGGAAGATGAAAATATCGCCCCATTTGATAGATCGTCCTCGATTTACGTATAAAAAGTTTTAGATCTTCGATGAAACTCATTTCTCTTCGTTTTAAAAAATATGTACTGGTGGTCTGTGTTTCCCTATATATAATATATAGGTATATGTATGTTTGTTTGTTTGCTTGTTGAGAAAATATTCTAGTGAAATTATCGTTATTTAGTAAACGCAAGAAGGCAAGAAATAAAACTATAAAGTAAAATAAATTATTACGTAACAAAAAGTTATCATTTCATTAAATCTATTTTGCTTATCTTCTAAATTATCCGATTAACTTGCTGTATTTAGTTATATTTATGCGTTATCTAACTCTTCGATGAACTAATAAAGATCATCGAAGGAACACGAGTCAAACACGCTTCAACGAAGTAAACGATCCTTTCTTTAAATTAAAAAAGAAAAAAAACAAGGTCAATTTTCTTTTTTTTTTTAATTTTTCCTATAACCACTCTTTCTTTTGATGATATTTTCGGTTTTCAAACATTCAATTCTAAATTCCTTTATATGCAGGCTACTGTAGACAAAAATATTTTTTCTTAATTAATTTATTTGACATTTATATTATAAAGTTCTGATCATTCTAAGTAAAATATAAGAATTTTCAAATTTTTAATAATTTTATTTTTTTGTTATTTATGAATTCGTGCTTACTGAAATCCTTTACATCTGAAGATATAAAAATTGTTAGACATACGAATTTCTATGCATACTTTTTAAATTATTGTGAAATGTTTTAAATTGAATAAATCTTTTAAATAGTTTAGTCGAAAAGATCTCGAGTAGAGTCCGACTTGATGAAGATTTTATTTGTTATTAGCATTTGCAATTTTTATTTATTTATAAAACTCATCCCACAATTAAGATTTTTGCTTTTTTATAATTAATTAATTATATAACAAGTTTTTTTTTTAAATAAAGTACAATAGATGGGACAGTTTTAAATGTTGTTGCTGGGAAAGTTAAGAAACTCGTTACTGGATTTTTATAAACGATTTCTGACACTTATATGGAAGTTTCTGTATAGCGTTTAAGTTTACCAAGTAATATAAAGCCCACTTATATTTAATGAAATTTTTGACATTTTTTTATATAATGTTGAAGATTTAATTAATTAAAAGATGATAAATATTGCTAAAGACAGAAAATAAAATGAAAATAAATAAAATGATCAATATGACCAATTTATTTTCAAACAAAATATATACTGTATATATTTAAAATAAAATATAATATGTTTGCTTTAGTTTTTTTAAAACAAAGTGGGGATATTTTATTATATTTTTATCACTCGACTTTTAATTATATAAATGCAAAATAACAAATTATTATTTTTTGTTTGTTTGTTGTTGTTTATTTTTATATGCTTTTTATTAACTTTTTTCTATCCGTTTGTCCAGAATCTTGTAACTCAATTTTTCACTCACTTCGCTATTAAATGCCAAACCAAGAAGAATTTTAATAATTCACTGTTATGTGAAACTAAAAAGTATAAAAGTAATTTTTTCACCTTTCACGGTATTCTTGATATTATGGCACAAAAATAAAAGCGTGGGACGCTCATGGACTAATTACTATATTATGCCCATGATCGTCCCACGTTTTTATTTTTGTCTCATAATATCAAGATTACCGTGAAAGGTGAAAAAAATTTATATTTTACTTTCTGGTGCGTTTATGTGAATAATAAGCGTTTCTTTGCAATTTTTTAATATCTGTTTTATTTCCGCAATTACATCATATAGCAATAATTTCAGAGAAAAATGAAATAAATTATTTATTCTGTAAATTTATATTTCAACATACAATGACACATCGTTAATTTTCTTGCATAATTTTTTTCTTGCATAATTTCCTAAAATCCATAATTTTACATAATTTTAATAATATTTTCCTGAATGAAAAATGAAATTTTTATTCTTTCTAATAACTGCTGATAAAGATTTTAGCAAAATGATTTTAAATATTTTATAACTATATTTTATCATTCCGTATTAATTTATTTATAGTAACGAGTTAAATAATTACCATTGGGCAATTACGTACTCGTGCTACTGTTGCATCACTGGTTCTCGATCAATATTGTATCCATGTCCATGTGCATGACATTGTGTCTATACCTTCAACAGATCTAAAGCTGCATTACAACTAAGAACAATACTTTTAATAAGATGCTAGGCTACATGACCAGACACAGAACCCCCTCCCCGTTGTAGTGGACCATGGTAGCCACTGTCTTACCCCCTAACTCTTTAAACTGGGCTACGTGGTTTGTGAATGTTCGCTACGATCACTGTTATGTCGAAATTCAATTTCATAATCTTATTATATAACTCAACTCTTCAATGTTATCACTTGTAATTCTATCCGGATATTATTATCGTTGTACAGATAATGTACTATAATCTCTAGTTATATTTCTATTTTTGGCTTAACATTTATTGACTGCTGACAAAGCGAAATTATCGTTATTTCGAAATCTATCAGTATAAATTTACGAAATCAACGAGAAAATTACGAGAATACTTGTCCTAGATAACGAAAAAGTATAAACTTCAATAATACTATTTTAATAAATAATATTAAAAGTTATAAAGGTTCAGATATTAAAAAAAAATATGAACTCGCTGTTACTAAATTAACTCGTTGTTTAATTGTTTTTAATAAATTTCATTTAAAATCGTCACATGTAGACTCTGCTTATACTGTACAGGACTGCATTAAGCAGAATGAGTCATTCATTAAGTCATCAAGAATCACACCACTCATCTGTTTTTCAGGCTATGGCCAGGAGAGGAAGAGGATCGATACATTTTGCTGTATCTAGTTTATTACGAGTAACTTTAGTATGTGAGGTAGATGGATGCGTTGTTTTAATGGTTCATTAAAAATTTATTCGTTCCATTTACTAATACAGGATTTAAAAGCTACTAGATTAACTAGAAATTTTATTAAACCGGCGGACTTTTTGCCGTTTAGACCGGATAATCGAGCGTTTTTAATAACATTAAGATTATTCAAAACGATTAAAAAAAAAAAGAAAAGAAAGAAAACGTGTAGCGTTGTACAGTACATACACAGAGATCAAACGCTTCAAGTAAGTGGAAATCACTGTCATTTGGCGATTGTAGCGCCGCGAAACTAGGTTGTGTATTAACATAACGTTAAATTTTGTGTAAATTAATTTACCTTCAAATACTGTAATTGCATTACAGTATTCATTGCTCATGAAATATTCAATGCACAACATTTGATATTGTACTAAAACACAAAATCAAACAGAATTTCGTTTATTCGAAAGACCCATGGTCCATTAAGTTCGAATAATCGAGTTTCCACTATATTCCTCTATGTCTAATACATGCTTATTTTTTAATTAGCTATCGTTACGATAAAGCGATATAAATTAAATATAAATAATTGGTATAAATGACATAAATATTTTATTTATATTATATTCACTTAAAGAGATAGTGTTTAATCAATAAAACGATTACATTCATCAGTCACACAGCTTTCAAAAATATCTATTAAATAAAGTAACTTTATATTATATTAATTTAAATTTTACATATACCACTCTAAATATATATATTATTACATTTAAATTTCTTTAGAACTATAGTGAGAAATCCAGGGAGCAATGAATTATAGAAAAATTCGGTTCGGGGCATCGTTTTATGCTGATATCAATGCTATTGAGGCCGATTATATCAGTTGATAAATTGAAAAGATTACAGAAATGAAGGCCTATTATATCACTTGAAAATGCTAATAGGAATCTAGAGAAGAATTCAATCCAAGACAAATTAGATTAAATTTTTGTACTATTAAGTTTTATGATCAAGCAGGTACATTTGATAAATTACACACCTTCAGATGAATAATAAAATGATATGCATCTGTCCAGGACTGTCGAGAGTGGGAAGCTAGGATTTTTCCTAGTGCCCTAAAAAAACTTAGGGGCCCTTAGTGGTTGCTACTCCTAAAAATAAAAGTTTTTATTAACAAAAAAAGGGAATTTTAAGACTGTTATTTATTAATAAAAAAGAAAAATTTCCACACTTTTTAAACAAGGGGCAAAAGAGGCCCATTCTATTCATTAAATAAATCAATTAAAAATAATTTTACGTATTTTTAAAAATATTTAACTAAATTTTTTTCAGAATTTTTCTGAAAATTGCGCAATTTACAAAAGAATAGCGTTAAAAATATTTCAGAGAAATCTTCAAAATGATACGTGTATTACTGATATAATTATTTTCGTTTTATCGAAGCCAAAGTTCTGTTTAGTGCAGAATGTGCTGACGTAATTAGTTTTCTTTCAATCTTAAAAGTTCAGGTAAATGAAACATCAATTCTAAGAATATGATATAGAATAAACGTTAATTTCTTTGAATATTTCTTCGCAAGATACGTTACATCTACGTAAACAAATATTTTTTTAACAAATATCCAAATTATTTTTATCGTTAATAATTTTTAACAACAATATAATTTTAATATCGTTTTATTATCAAATATAGTTAATAATCTGTTATAGTGTATTTAATATTTAATTAGAAAAAACACAAAATTTTAATTATTTACGATATTTTATGCATTTGGATCTGGATGTAGTCAATAGCTATAAATTTGATTTAAATTCTCCTTATATCATTTAAATACTTTTTAAATTTAAATTTAAAAGTATGAAAGGAGGCATGCAATCAAGTTTTCTTTCATACTATATTAAGCAGTTAAAGATTAATAAATCATGTGTACTTAATATACATTACAGTTACATTCATTTATCTCTCTAAATATGATCTCTAAATATGATCAAGAATAATTTACAATAAGTTAAGATTCAGTTTACTTTAATCATTAAGTTATTTAATGAATAACGTTTTAAACTTTAAAAAATACATTATATATACGAGGGGTGCAAAAATAGGTGTACAGTTAAGAATCTGAGAAATTCAAATATTTGGTGTTTATTATTATTATTTTTATTATACTGTATTTTATTAGTGTGTATTCCTTATTTGGGATTTTAATTTGTACATAAAAATAAATGTTTTTTTCTTTTTATTATCTCCCTGTATGTTTTTTTCCATAATAACAACTGTGCACCTACTTTGCAACCATCCTGTATTATATATTTTAAAGATTATATGATATATTTTAAGAATTAAAAACTATTTATTAAAGGGGCGTTTATATATATAATACTGTATATAAAAAGACCTTTTTTCCATACCCATCGTGGGTTCGGCCAGGCTCAGAATGGGATAGACGGATACTGTGGATCATGATCCAACATATCCGAGACAGACAACTAAAAAGTATCTAGAGAATTGTTCGCCCGGATTTCATCCCTGGTTCCTCAGAACGGTAGGCTGACACCTTAGCCGCCTTGGCCATCCGGTCGTATTTATTGATACAAAGAAATGAATAAATGAAGTAGCATAAAATGCTTTCTCATAATAACAGGTTTAATTTAATACAAACGGCCGGATGACTGAACGGTCAAGGTAGCAGCCTACCGCTCTGGGATCCGAGTTCGAATCCGGGTTCAGGACGCGTCAATATATCCTCAGAAATTTTTCGGTGAATGATCTATCCTGATATATGGAGCCCCATCCCTCACCAGTACTCGTTATCACTTACCAGAAGCCAACGCATGCGTGTCCATGAAATTTTTTGACTTTTTTGAGTTCAGGAGGTCTCGAAACGTGAAAATTTACAAAAAACTCGGAGGGTTAAATTTGACACGATTCCAATACTTTTCCATGTTATATACTCAACTAGCTGGGAAAGTATAGTACAAGAAGTATTATTACAGTATTTTTTTTATTAAAAACTGTTGATATGTTAATAAATAATCACAACACCATGGAAAATAAATATAAGATACAGTACCTCCATTGTTAAAGAAAATGTTAAAAATATCCTTCTAAAATCGCCCAAATTCAGTAAAACATGAAAATAAACACGAGTTTATGAAGACTATATATAATTTCTTTTTTATAGTGACATTTCAGGACACTAAGAGGAATTTGGATAACAAGTTAACAAAGCAATTTTTCTTTTTTTGTTTAAACTCTTTCCACCCTGTGGGCACAAAGAGGGCCTCTTTTTGGCAAGCCCATTATGGGTTCGGCCAGGCCCACAATGGGGAGGCTGGGTGGTGAGGAATGAGGCCCGACATATCCTGACGGACCATCCCCCAAAAAATTCCTGGGAATTTTTCCACCAGTCCGGATTCTATGTTGGGTCCCCCAGAGCAGTAGGCTGCAACTTTGACACGGCCGTCAACACAGATATAAAAAATGAATTTGGAAATTACTCGTACTACTAACGATTTTGTTATCGATTTATACAATATAATCCGTAAATTAAAAAGTCAACAAGTGTAAAATCCTCTGGTATATTTTGCAATTTATTTGTAGACTACAAGTTTTTGTATGTATTTTGTGGTATTATTAATTTTACTCATCCTATTGATAATGTAACATTGTATCACATGTAGCACAAATCAATAACAGAGCATCAGCACATAGGTTTTTTTTTTTCTAATTCGTGTCCTACAGCTGTGTTTTTTACTTTCTATCTTAAACAGATACGATAATGTATCACAACATTGATTACACTTATTGATAAAATCTCAGCTCAAACTGAGCTACTGTAAACCGAGTGGTAAAACAATTTTGTTCGTTTCAGTTTTTATAATTACAATAAAACCTGTTTAACGCGGAGTGTGCCCAGATTTTTCCATTTAGGCCAGTTTCTGTTTTATACATGATCCACTTTAGATAGATTTTACTCTATAAGCATCGACAGTATGTTTATTGTCATAATTGATAATGTTAACCTTATAATATATAATTTTAGTTAATTAATAAACCTAACATAAATTTCAGATGATTTACTTTTACAGAATATTATATTTATTGTTCGAAAAGTGTCGAGACAAAACATATTGATTCGGTACATGTACAAAAATCAAAACAGTGAAAATCAATTTGTTTGTTTTCATCACTTTGTATAGAGGTAAAGCACGCAAATAGGATTTGTTACTTTGATTTGCTTATTACTATAAATAAATAAAAATTATAAAAATTAAAACATTTTAAAAAGGGATATATATATATGTATATAAAGGTATAAAGCGAAAACAATATTCTGGAGATGGAAGGTGAGTTTGTTTATAGGCTTATTTTAGAAGATGAGCAAGGTTTCGAACAGACATAATATACCCATTGTTGTCTGTACTGCATATGAAGGAACCCGCGATCCTCTGTAGATAAAAACTTTGAAGTATAACCAATTTTGCCAATTTAGTGTAGTTTCTTTTTGCCGAAACATCTCTTTTGTGTTCGGTAATCTTGTGTTGGAATGCACTTCAAGCTGCTCCAATATAATATAGCATTACATTACCAGAAGACAGAATTTTATATACTAGAAAGATTCAAGAAATTCCATGAATCACAGTCAAATGTCATGAATCTTCTAAGGGAACAATAAGAGTTGGCTGCCGAACGAACTTGCCGAACTGGCAAGACGCAAAATTAGATACGTGACGGGAAAACGTAAGGTCATTTTAGCGAACATATTTTATATGCAATTTGTCGCTGGTAGAGGCTGTATTGCACGTTTACTTTGTTCACTAGTTTTGAGACGATGGAAGAAGGATAATACCCACAAGGGCGGAAGAAGTAAAAAGTAAAAAAATTATTGAGATATTTTATTTAAACTAGAACGACAGCTTTTGCATTTTATCAATAATTAAAAGTAGAACAAATTCAAATATTTAATTTTATAATTTAGGAATAACACTCGAATTTATTTTAAATTTAAATATTTTGTTGTTATATTTTAAAATGTAGATAGAGGGCGCTGTGGAAAGAATCCGATTGTCGCCGGGCAACTTTAAACAATTTGAAACACGAGAAATACAACAAACAATAAATGTCAGTTGGGTTTCAAAGCATAAATTTTATTTACATCGAAGGATATTAAAGTATTATGGAAATGGAAAAGGATTTAAAATACATTCCAGGAATGACAATGACGAAGGGAGAACGTGAGTAAAGGTTCTTTCATAAAGGCAGTTAGACTCTTGCTAATACGGCAATTCCGACAGAGGGGTGCCGGATTACTGAGTGTATAGAACTAAAGGCAATGAAAGACACGTAGCATGCTGCCCTTACGTACTGATTCTTTTTGGAGCTGTATTTTGCTATTTTGAAATTATACATACAGTAATTACAAGTTTAATTAATTATTAAAGTTAATTGCCGCTACAAGTTTACTATATGTATTATTTAAAAATAATAAACATGAATAAGAGAAAGATAGGTATTTAATGCAGTATGCTGGATTAGCAAGATATTACTGTATATAAAAGGCAGTCTTTCAGAAAGGAAGTTTGCATGCGTCTATAGCATAATGCTTAGTAAAGTGGCTTTAATACAATTGAATAAGCAAACAATAATCTGTTTCAAATGAAACAAGCTATGTCATCGGTTTGTTTATTCGACTGTATTGAAACCACTTTACTAGGCAACATGCCTTATGCAATATAAAAATTTTTAGTTTGTAAAATTTGCTGTAGTTGATATTCCAAACATTTGGGAATTATTGAGTAGCTGTACTGATCCTCTTATGCAATAAAGAATTGTAAGGATTGACAGCAGAACAAACTTCTATCAGAAAATTATCCAGGTTTTCAGTAAAATTGTGAACAGAAAACATAAATACTTTAAAATACTGATGTGTTTATCACATCAATATTTTAAAGCAGAGGAAAAAAGACAATATGGTCATATATCTAAGATTAGAAAATATATTTTTATTATGAATAAAAATATTAAGGATGAAAAATACAGTAGAACCTCGAAAACTCGGCTCTCGATAACCCGGCACTCCGGATAACTCGGCCACACCCTGGCAGGGCAAAAAAATCCTTAGTTAATTAATTTTCATTATAAACAGCTTTATAAAAGTATAAAAGCTCTCATAAAGTATTTTTCTGAGGTCTGTCTTAGCAGGTAAATTACTGTACACAGTGTATTCATTAATTTTCATTTTCATGTAGTAAAGGCTCTATGCCTTCATAAAAGACGTACTTTTCCTTTGTTTAAGGGTATTTGGGCAGTTTATTCTCTGTTATATTCTCAAGTAAACAATACATACAAGTACAGTACAATATTTTCTGAGGAAACACTTGTACTTATTTTTTTTTAACCCCATTCCCGATAACCCGGCATTTTCACAAACTCGGCCACCCTTCGGTCCACATTAGGCCGAGTTTTCGAGGTTCTACTGTATCAATTTTTGTCATATTTAGAAACATTGTAAATTTGTGGTTTTTTTTAAACTTTTCTATTAACCTAAGATTTTTATCTTTAATATTTAATGAGGATGACTGTAATTTAAAAAAGTACTTTTGCAAGTTATTTTTACCTAAGTATTCTGATTGAGAACAAACAAAACTCTCATAAATTATTTAAATTTTACAATTATGATTTATATTTGATATGGATTATAAATTGTTAATTTTTAATTATTTAGCAGGTGTTGTTAAAGCATTAAGAAAAGTATATAATAAAATGTGTCAATTAGAGTTGGAAAAACAACAAGCTAAAGAAAATTATAATTATTTTTCTTCTAAGAAAGATGCTGAAGTTCAAACACTAATAGGTAAGCAATTTCATCATTAACTTACATCACATTAAATTTTAGCTTCTTTTCATAATATAAAAATATTCTTCATTTATAATAGCAATATTACAGGTTAGTTATAAAATTGTTATTATAAAGAATTCAATACAGTAAAGTCTTATTAAAATTAAAAGATGAATTCTTCAAATGCAACTTTTATTAAATTTTATTATTATTTTATTCACTGTGCGGAGAAAGGTGTAAATCATACAATTATGTAATTATTATATTAACACAAAGAAATGATTCATAATATCTCGTATTAAACCAGGATACTGAAACTATATTAAGAAAAGGAAGTAGAACTTCATAATGTCATGATAAAATTTTATGAAGTATTTAAATTTTAAAATTATGATCTACAAATGATATAAATTGTTAATTTTTATATAATTTGTTTAAGAATTTTTTTCAAGATACTGTCATTAATAAGAATAGAGAAAAGTTTTTTTTTTTAATAAAATAAATTTTATTTTTATTCTCTTTAATTAAGAATTTAATTCTTCTTTATATTGTATACGAGGGGGACCCAAAAAAAACAACTGAGAGCGAGCTGCCATTTGTAGACGTAGTAGAGAGTTCTCCCATTACATGGGGTTAGTACCCCATGTAACAGGACCACGTAGTAGACATCTTCATGAAACAGCTGTGCAAATGGCATCAGTTTGTAGGTTTACATTTGAGTGTAGTGTTGTGTTTCTCTTACTGTTATTTTGTTCTGTTAATTCTGTTATTTCTGCGAAGTTTTGGGTGTCCTTCAACATCTTGAAACAATGAAAACATTGAAAAAAATTCGCCAAAAATGTGTTAAGATGTCTGCAAGAGGATGTGCGAAGGAAATGCCAGGAACTTTGGTGATCAGGTGATTGGTTCCTTCATCATGACAATGCTCCCGCACACACGGCATTACGAGTGACCCACTATTTGGCCTCTTGGGGATGGCCTGTCATTCCCCACCCTCCATATTCGCCAGACCTAGCCCCGTGTGACTTTTTTCTGTTTCTGAGAATGAAGAAAAATCTAAAAGGAAAGCTTTTTGATGATGTGGAGGCGGTAAAAACAACTTTGCTAAGGGCACTGGATGATATCAAGGTTGAAGAGTTCCAGAGATGCTTCAAACAGTGGGGGAAAAGACTTGACAAGTGCACCACATCTAATGGAGAGTACTTTGAAGGTGACTGAAGGAATTTTGTAAAAAAGTTAATAAATAAAGTTTTTATACAAAAAATCTGGTTTTTTTGGGTCCCCCACGTATTGTCAATATTCAGTATATTAGATACTATTTGCAGAATGTATCTGAAGTTAATTATAAGGAAATATCATTGTCTTGTAACATTTATCTCTTAAAATATAATGATTAAATTGAACTGAAGTTGAATGACATATACGCATTTTTATTTTTGTTTGTTTGTAAGAGTAGAGACTTCTTTCTGCTAAGAGATCAATGTTATTTTGTATCTTAAAAACATATTATACTTCTTATTCATTATCCACTTCACTATTATTATCACTTTAATATGATTTTGTATGTAGAAATGCAATATAGAATTTAGTTGTAACAAATACATAAAATGAAACTATAATATGTATTGAAATTACATTACTAATTTCAACAATAATATATATAATTTTTTTTAAGTTGTTAAAATATTTTTATTATTTGATGTCATTTAAAAACAGTAAAATGATGGAAACACTTTTGATATAATATTATTATCCACACATTTTTATGACATGAAATGGTTAGATGAAACACAAGGATTTATAACATATTAATTGAATAATACATATTTTTTCTAACTTAAAAACATTATTAGAACCATATCATTCTTATAGTTCATAATTAACAGTTTGCTTTAAAAATTTTTTTTCTGTATTAAATAATTTTTACATAAACTATCACAAACTTCTATTTCTGGTTAAATAATTTTTCTTTCTTTGACTTTCTTTGAAAATCATTTGCCAAAACAAAGTTTATTGCTCAAGTAAAGCAATAAACTTTGTTTTGGCAAATGATTTTTCAATGAAAACTCATTTTAGTGAACTTTTTTCATTAAAATTTCATTTCAATACAATTGTTAAATGGCTTTATTTGACCACTGACAAAATATTATGTTCAAATGATATAATGTAATACTAATTACAAGTAGAAATTTTGTTTAATAACATGTTTGCAGATAAAATATTTACAATTTGAAAAGTTTGAAATTCTTAAAAAATATAATTATCAATTTGTGTATTTAATAAATAACTATTTGTGTGTTAATAAAATGTTTAATAGAAAATATAAAAGAGTACTTAAAATATAGAGGGTTCCTACGCACCTGGAAAGTCAGGAAAAATCAGGGATTTACGTTAGTGTTCTGAAAAAGTCATGGAATGTAAGGGAATTTGTTAAAAATTGTCAAAAAGTCAGGAAAAATCAGGGAATTTGTTTCCTTGGTTGCCTTGTTGTTTTTGTTTGCTGACTGAAGTGTAACTGTCTGCAGGCAGCCAGAAATATTGTGGTACAATGCAACTGTGAAAATGGAGCGCAGAATATTTTCAGGATCCCAAAATTTTCCCTAAAATTATAGCACACAAAATATACAAACATACAACAATATCAATCATTATTTTTCAATTTTAAAATACTTTTAGATTTTAAAACTGCTGTATTAATTATGCAGTTTATAAGTTTGAAAGAAAAATCTAATACTCTTAATAATCTAATGTTGATAAAAAATTTTTGAAATATTTTAACTTTCTATCTCTTGCAATTTACACTTTCAGTTTGAGGGAAGATGTTAATGGACTGATGGAAAAAAATGATAACAACGAACCAAAAATGATAAATAACTTAATATTAATTCAAATGGTATTATTTATCATTTTTCATTTTAATAATATTTATCACATAACAAAACAATTTCTGATTTCTGAAACTCTTTCCCAGTTTATTAATATTTTATAAAGTTTGGAAAATTTATTAAAGGACAAATTTAATAAATTTGTACTTTTCTACATCGGATTGTACTGAATTCTTTTAATAATAATTAACGGCTTTTTTCTTTTTTTCAAAGCTATGAAGTTTTACAGTTATGAGTTAATAACAGGATAAATTATTATTTAATAAAATATTTTAGTTTTTTGTAGAGAAGACATGCCATAATTTTGTCTTTCTTATTTTATTTTTGATTTTACTAATTCATCGATCATAAAAAATATATAACTGTTAATTAGAAAAAATAACCAGTTAAAAGGTTGGAGAAGCACTAACATATGTGCATAGTAAGTTGAGTAATGTTTTATTTTGTTAATGTGCTATACTGTAAGGATGTGAGGGTCAGGGAATTTATACTAAGTTGGTCAGGGAAAGTCAGGGAATTTAAAACAAAAATTCGAGTAGGAACCCTGAATATAAGATACTTATACAATATACAATTGAAATTAAAAAGACTGACCAAAAAAAAAATCCAAAATGTACAAGCAGGATTTATTTTTATGAAAAAAACATCTATAAAGTAAATTTGTTTTTTTATTGAATTGTAAAGTGAGTGCCCTAATATATTAAATGTACTTCTTGATTAAGTAATTAATTCAAAATAATGTAATTTGAAATTACTTTAAAAATAAATAGAAATATTTTAATAAAACTAACAGTCAACAGTCAATCTATATAGTATCTAAAATTAGTTATGTATTTTACTTATTAGTACATATAAATATATATATTAATATATTAGTTAAATTTTGAAAGAGTATTTATTTATTTATTTTTTATATATGCATAAATTTTTAGCTCTAAAGAACCAAGTATCATCTTCAGAATCACGTTGCAAGTTGTTAGAACTACAGTTACGTCATCTTCGAAATTGTTTAGCACCCTTACTTAATAAAACTAGTGAAGATGAAAGTACTACAGAGGTAAAGATTGCACATACACCTAATGAATCTTATGTAAGTAAATATTATTCAAGAAGAACTGTATCAAAATCTCCAGAACTGTTTAGAAATTCTTCTGATAAAGAAAGTGAAAAGGATAGAGTTAAGAAAAGTGATGTGTTAAAAGATATTCATAAATTGCATAAACTAGAAAAATATTACTCAAAAGATGTATTGTCATCAGATAATGAAATAACAAAAGATACTGCAGAAGGATTTTTATCTAGTTCACTTGCTGAAAGTTCAAATATAGATGCACAAAAATTGAATAAGAGACTTCCGACAAAAGAAGTAAGGAAAATGCTTTTTTTTCTTTATTATTGAATTCATTAACAATTTAGTCAAATTAAACTTGTTAAATAAAAATTTGATTTTTTAATATATATTTTTAAATATTTACAAAATTTAGAAAAGTATTTAAAAACTATACAGACAAGCAAAAGCTACAATCTTCCTGTTATGAATTTGCATGAACTTTTGCCATCAAATAAATCATCAAAATGAGATCATTTGCTTTTAAATTGTATGAAATTAGTAATTAGTTTAAAAATGTGAATTTTGAATTATTGATTAATGTTCATGATGGCTAAATGAATGTGGCTTCATATTACGAGGTCTGTTCAAAAAGTATCGGACCTTTGGTCGGCAAAAATAAATTTATTGATTTTGAGGTACAAAACCCTAATCCCCTTCAAAGTAGTCTCCTTGGTAGTGTATACACTTCTCCCAGCGTTCCTGCCATTGCTGGAAACACTGCTGGAACGCATCTTTTGGAATGGCCATCAGCCGGTCCGTCGGATTCCGCACAATGTTTTCTCTCGACTAAATTCGGGTTCCTTTTAGCGGCATTTTCAGCTTGAAAAATAGCCAAAAGTCACACGGAGCCATGTGGGGAGAGTACGGAGCGTGACGAACC